AAGCAGCTCTTTCTCTGGTTCAGGAAAGTGCGGATTAGACAGAGGAATAGTGGTTAATTGGAGGTGACTGCCATAACAAAAGCTATGGACACACATCACATTGTGACCTCATACAAAACAAAAAGACTTTGTAATAGAAAAATGCTTTCGAAGAAATGTCTTTTGTTGGCTATCAGCTGAGTGACAATGTTGGGAATGTAGAGAGCACAGGCAATGTCTTCAGTCATGTCAATATCTTCAGTTTCACCGTGACTCAGGATTATTAAGAGTGATGTTACTTCTGCAATTGCCTAAATTAGCAACAGAATGGATTGGCAATTCATATAAATTGGACCAGTGACTAGATTCAGAAGGAGAACTATAAAGCAAAAGCCAAAAAAAATAATTACTGGAGCTGCAAGTTTAAGTTTAGTTTGGTTGTGTAGCAGCAGCAGTTTAGTAGTAGTAGCAGCAGCAGCAGTAGCCATAGTAGTGGTAGTATTAGTGGTAGTATTAGTAGTAGTATTAGTAGTAGTAGTAGTAGTAGTAGTAGTAGTAGTAGTAGTAGTAGTAGTAGTAGTAGTAGTAGTAGTAGTAGTAGTAGTAGTAGTAGTAGTAGTAGTAGTAGTAGTAGTAGTAGTAGTAGTAGTAGTAGTAGTATTTTAGTTAGTCAAAAATGCTTAGATACAGTGTGGTACCATCCAACCACACTCTGAGAGTACGTAGTGATGGGAGAGCAGCTTGTCTCTCTCAGTTCAAACAAGGGTTGCCACCCCTTCATCAGGGAGAAATCCAGTTCTAAAATTCAAGCTAGCTGAGACACTTCCATTGGTATTTTTCATACAGAGACCAGTTCCTTCAGCCTGGTCTCCCGCAGATCAAGTTGATTCAAATTCACAGTGGTTGCAGAGGTGGGTGGGGTCTGATGCTCTGTTGTCTTGGTTCAATGTTGATGTATTCAGATTTTGTGATTTTGATGATTTTCAATTTCACGTTTCACGTGTTGCAGATGCTCTCGTCTCCCTCGACTGGCAGAACAAAGAGAGTGCATGGGCTTCGGCACGGGGGGTTAAGGTTTCCTCTTTTTTGTTTTTTTTAATGACTACACATATCACATTTAAAAAGATTCTTTAACACTAACAGTTATAAGTGTCACAGAGAGTGTATGAGGTTGAGGTAAGAAGCTAGGCTAATGTTAATGCTATTCATATACGACACCTTTAAATGATTTACTCACTTAATCCCATAGAAAAAGCAAATGTAAAATGTCTGCACATCAGAGGTGGTATGGCCTGATAGTTTTTCTACATTTGTATGATTAATAACAATTGTTTGCTTGCCCACCATTTGCCTACTGCTGAAAAAACACTCACAGTATTCAAACTAGGTGACTAGAGGCCACCACACAGTACAGGAGAATTTGCCAGAGCTTGGCTGTGATTTGCTTCTACCTGAGTTTGGTGAGGCGTAACCCTGCTCTTTGTCTTCATATGTGATTTTGAAGCCGTTGCACTCCTCATGAATGTAGTGTCAGTGTGCCTCTGAACTACACTGTCATATATCGTAACCACCAAACATCAGCGATGCTACGGTAACAGCTAATAAAACAGAGCGTCAGGGCCAGAGGAGTGATGGACAGAGAGGCGCAACACAGAAACTTTGGAAATAGCAAAAATAATTATTACTCAGTAAAATTGTAAATATAAACTACTCATCCACATTATCCATAGAATTTGTCCTCCGCAAATGACACCCAGTCCACAAAACAGTGCTGTGACTCTAGTTTGAAGTGTCCTTTAAAAGGCCAGAGTAGTTCCTCACGTGTGTCTGTTTACATCGGGTGAAGTTGCGATAATGACTCTACTTCCCATGTATTTTATCTCCAGCCTTCTGTGCATTAAAAATCATGTATCTGAAGTACTGCACCACATTTCACAGACAATAATAACTCAGTTTTGACTTGTATCTAAACTAGAAGTGCAATGCTCTAATCTTTTGAACACTTGAGTCTCCTTGTGTCTGTGGTGTGTACTTTTTGTCGCACGTTTAAAAATCGTTTAAGATCAAAAAATCCTGTAGTGTGTGGTGGCCTTAACACAGACAGAACATTGTAACATTTGATGTAACAATATATATTTAATCTCTTTATCTCCCTAAAGGGTATTTAAATGCAAAGCATAAGAGCCTGTCCAGCTCTAGATTTTTTTTAGAAAGTGCAATAATATGAAGTGTCCATCTCGATCCTTTCCTGGCACTAATAATATGTTTACTTGAGCAGTGTGCAGTCAGACATCCCAGGGGCCTTTACAACAGTCCCAGTGTCATTCACATGTGGAGCTGGGGCAGCAGAGCCAGCTGACACGCCTGACATCTGGGACACAGTGTTATTAAGCCTGTAATGTGCTCTGCTTTACCTGACCACCAGCAGCCAGATCAATATACTGCCACTTATTGAGTGTCCAGTGCACTGTGGTGACTCCCCGAGGGCCCGCCTCTGTCTATGAATATGAGACATGCTGTGTGTGTATGTGTGCGTGTGTGCATGCATGCATGTGTGTGTGTGTGCGGTGCATGCGTGCGTGTGTGCATGTGTGTGTAAAGGAGATGCATACATTTCTTTCAGCTGTTTTCTGAAAAGTGAAAACTGATGCAACAGGAATGTCAGACATTTCCGTCACACATCTAGTCACTGGCAAATGCAGACGCCTCTCAATAAAATGATGAGTAACTGAAATACGCATGTTGTTGACAAGTGTATCCCAAAGAGATTCTATATAGTAAACTATGCAATGGCCTTAATGGTAGCAATTTTCTGCAAAGGTAGTTTTATAACACAGTACACTACAGTACACTAGTAATACAATTTCTTGTATGAAAACACCAACTTTTCCTTTACACAACTAAGAGCTTGTTTTAAATGCTTCTGCCTCAAAGCTAGACGCCATTCATTTTGAACCTTCAAGTTAGTTATGTTTATCCTACCAATACATTTGATTCAAATTGGTAAATCTAAATGGCTTACTCTTGCAATTAAACCAATACTGGATAGAAGGTAAAAGTCTTGGTCTCTGTGTATTGCAGGCTACCTTCCACCCATACTTTTCTATAAAAAAAGAAATAACTAAATTTGTAAATGGATCTGGAATTTCTAAAAATACATATGATTGCGTTAAAAGTGCATTATTTTATTAAGAAAATGAGACAGACAACCCGGAAAGGCCACAGACAGCCAGCACTCTAAAGTAGTGGACTGAGAAGCTGCCAAGACAACACAATAGACGCTGTAAATCACCTGAGCAACAGTTCTAACCTAATGCCCAGCTCTGGATGTACGCCACAGCACCTGGAACCATTCCCATTTTTTGTACTGGCTGTTCTTATTTTTGCATTTACTTCAATGTGGACCACCGTCATGGTATTTATACAATTCTAAATAGCTTGATTTTCTATTTTGTTCACAAGTTTTGTGACCTTGACTGTATTTACACAACACAAATGTTTTATAGCAAGAAAAGGTTTAATGCCACAATCCCATAAGTGGCTAAATAAAATAAGTATGTGATAGTCCTTGACCCACACTTACATGACTGTTGTGCTGATTCTACCTAACCATGTTTCCATAACAAAGTTAAAAAGGGGATCAGCAATCCAACACAAAAACAGGCAGCAGGTTGCCAAAACAACAGTCCATATTATAGGGGCCTATAACACAGCGATGTAGTCTGACATTTAGACAACAGTTTGTTCAGTATAGTTTATACCAGTGTCAGCAAGTAAACTCTGAGATACAGACAGTGACCATTATTCTGCAAAACCTTACATTATAATATTTGAGTTTGTTTAGTAAGTCAATTGAAGAGAATCTGTTCAAAAACAATATTAATCATGTTAATTCTGGTTATAAAATGTGTCATATTTTTATTTTTCAAGTTATTTTTCAATTTCAACACACATGATAACCCAAATAACCCAAAACATGCATAAATTCAAGAGTGCAAATGATTAGGGATGCACTGATACAATAATGTTATTGAATATTGGCATTGATTCTGAAAATGTGAATCAGGTATCAGCTTTCAAGACAATTGGTTCAGCCAAATGCCATTTAGGTCTATTGGTGTAATAAGACAATACTGGCCCAAAATGTCTCATAATATTAAATGTTTTAGTAATTATTTGATAAAGAAAATGATAAATAAAAATTACACAATACATTTGGTTAATTTTTACCATATTCTGTTTGTATTTAAAATAAATGAATTATATTTTTCAGTTTCTGCACTGGTATCGGTTAATATAGGGCATCGGCAGATACTTCAAGCCAAAGTATAGACATCAGTATCACAACAGGAAAAGCTGCATCAGTCCCTACAGATGATTACTTCCCAAAGCAACTGTATCAGAGTAACAGCCATGTTCTAAAACCTAAAGCTTAGCAGCGATTATATGTTCTGAATTATGTGTCATTTGTCAAAAGCCTCAACATTGCCCAGTTCTTTGTTTATTCTGTTCAGACTTCCTACTAGTGAATACTACTCTTTCAGTGTGGCCTGTATTGAGTGAGAGCAGTGGGGCCGCACAGCAGAGGAAGGGGGGAGGTAAACAAACTAAAGTTGAGCTCGGAGTTTGGCCGCAGCGGACGGTTCATCTGGAGAGTTGCCCACTTCCCTGACCAGATGCTTGCGTCATCCATTCGCAAACATTTGGCAGTTGCTCAACACAGCCGCATACAAAGCAGATGTTTTTCAAGATCACGTGAGCAAAAGAAGAGAATCCACACAAGGATCTGTAAAAACACATGGCTGACTAGGCAACTCAAAAAAGGCCTGAATTACAGATCAGCTGATATGGGGGTTTTCATTGCTGACGCAGGAACTGATAATAATAATAATGATAATAATAATGATGATAATGATAATAATAATAATAATAATAATAACAATAATAACAATAATAATAATAATTATTATTATTATTATTATAATCATTATCATTATTGTTGTTGTTGTTGAAAGCAGACAATGGCCAATGTCCTATGTCAATGTAAGGCCCCAAGATATATGTACTGAAATTACTTAACGTGGAAAAACTTAAGTCCCAATATACTGATGTAGTTGCAACATTTTAATAGACATTTGTTCTTTTTGGCATATCGGCTATCGGCCTTAAATCTCCAGCAGAGG